AGAAGGGTTCCAACCAATTAATCTTTTAACTAACAGCACAATTATTATGCAATTCTATATGGGTTACGTCATAGTAGGAACTTGAAATATGCAGAAAATGGGGTTTTACCATCAGTTAAAACCTAAGAACAAGCACTCATTCAAAGAGACCTAACTTTGGATGATACTTTGAACAGGACACGCGATGATCCACTTAAACTTTGAAATCGTTTAGGGAGAGTTGGGATTAGTTTCTATCTTCTTAGAAGATAGAACAACTATAAAGAATAACCTTTTGTAATAACTCTGAAGTAGAAAAAGTAGTGGAATAAGAAAGCAGGTAGGAAGAAGAAGAAGAAGAAGAAGAAATAAAAAAAAATGGCAAGTTGAGAGAAAGAGAGAGAGAGAGAGAGAGAGGAGTCAAGGTTTTCACTAAAGAAGAGAAGACCCAAGATCTATTTTCTCTTAATATGGACAATTCCGCATGAACTCGTCCGACCTCAAACGACCGACTTCGAAAACCGCGAATGTCGTTCATCCAACGAACGGTGCCTGCGCCTCTCCTCCACATGGTCGCATAAGGTGTCTGGGTTGAATGATCCTATCAAAGTCTCGATATATCCTACTACTCAACTTCTTCATACCATCGATCGATCCACACACACACACACACACACATACTCAGAAAGAGAGAGAGAGAGACAGAGACGGAGAACCTTGGATAGCTAAAAACAATAGCCGGACTCGAGGAACTCGATCTATCCGATCGATAAAAAGTACCCTGGTTAGTTTTACACTTCTCGCGATTCGTCCATAACTAGAAAAATCAATCCAACTATCTACAATCCATCCTTCTATATTCAATAATAATTATTCAATTATTATATCACAAAAAGACCTATCTATAAATGTACATATATATTTTCATATACCAGGTGACCAATTTTGATATATTTCAATTAATCAAAATGTCAAACTTTTGTTTTTTTATTTATAAACCCCTAAATATTATCTGATCCAAAAACAAAAACAAACAAACGACYCACAATTTTTAGATAATACAATACTTTTATAATTATAATCATAATATTATATTAAAAAATAAAACTAATGTTACGTTACCGAAACGTATTATCCACTCCAGCAAAAAAGAGGATCCACGAGAAAATCGAGTTTCGTTTCGTCGTGATTGGCGAGAATACACGAAGATTTGCAATCTTCGATGATGCATTCAAATCTTATCTTGAACTAATCGTCGTTTCCCAATGATTATGATGATAATGATGACGATGACGATGATGATGAGGAGAATAAGTTAGCAACAGGAATGAAAGGGGCGTCTTCAAAGATCAACCCAAGTACCAGCATCATCATCATCAAACAGTAGCAACAGGAATATCAAGGAGAATTGTGTTAACTATGAGAGATGGGTAGCTTCTTCTTCCTTTATCTATTCTCCAACCATTCGTTGCAACAAATTGCATCCAGATGAATATAATCTTCGATTCTTCTTGAAGAGTTCGATGTAGTTGCGGGGGCAGGGGGGGGGGTTAGGTGTCTGTTTCCTAGACAGCCCTTTCTGAACTTGCTGGACTTCGATTTACCGCGCAGGCGTAGCAAACTAACCGACGCTTCTCTCTTTCTATCTTTCTCTTTTCTTTATTCTTCTCTTCTCCCTTCTTAGACAACACAATAAAAGAAAAGACAAAACTTTTACCACCCACGTATGAGAAAGAGATAATCACGAAAATGAGGATACTCTTCCGCGTGGTAAGTGAACGACTATTATAACACAATGTTGAAGAGTAGGATAAGGAAGAGGAGTCTTTGAACGGTCATGGGACGATGATACATCTGCAAGGGCAAGAAAAGGAGAAAGAGGAGGAGGAGGAGGAGGATCGAGGAAAGGATCGAAGAGAGGGACGAGTATGAGTTTGGAATCGAATCGAACACGTGAATGCACACATCATACTTCAACTTTAATTCAGCACGCGCTCTGCTCTTTTTTGCGGTAACAAATAATAAATAAACATTTCATGAAAAAGATCACGCACAGTAGAGTCATACACAAGCACAATTACAATTGTCACTAATTATCATCACACATTCGGAATTCGAATAAATCGATTATTGTTCACTTGAAACATGTAGAAACACAAGGAACTCTTGTCGAGTAATAAGAAGAGGAAGAAAAGAAGAAGCTTAGGAACAAGTTCAGAGACTCCGAACCCTAGCCGGCTAAGAAAGAAAGAAAGGAAGGAACTAGCTTTTCTGGCCTGTTGCTTCTCAACGAATGAAAAGAGGGGAGAGAGATGAGTATAAGGATGATGATGATGATGATGATGATGGGCGCTTAAGAGAAAAAGAGAAAGAGAAAGAGAGAGAGAGAGAGATGTAGGGAAAAGGGGCGGGAATCTTTCGAAGCAAACGTGCTGTGCTTAGGCGTCCCTTCCTTCCTCGTCGAAGAGAACAACGACGCCACCACGAAAGAACGACGGACAACGACGACGTGGTGCACACTACTCACAGCGACTACGAAGAACCTGCAGCCGGCAGCAAAGGCCAGCTGCTACTCGCTTGATCCAAGAGTACAGTGCTGCACACGAACACAAACGGGGAAGCCGAACCAGCCTTCGGGCAATGTCGGTTTCAAACAAAACTACGGACTTTGTTCGTCGTTCCTCGCGTGTATGTATGTATGTGTATGTGTGTGTGTGTGCTCTGCTCATGGACGAGAGTATCACGCATACATAAAGGGAAGAGAACATCCACACCACAAATATATACAGACATATATATATATATACATGTAAGATAGCACGAGCGTCCCCCCTCACATTTACTATTAGTGTGTGCCCACGCACTCTCGGGGGCCTACCTACACTATACCTCTTTTTCGCTCCGTTGGTATGTCCCTATGCGCTTTGTAGGGGGAATAAAAAGAAGAAATAAACAAAAGGGTCTTCGGGTGAATTCGAAACGATGCTTTTGCTTTGCTTTGCTTTGCTTGACTTCCAACCGAACTGACCCGAAAAATTCACAACCAACTATAACTTAAATCCAATGAATGAGAATGAACATGTCTGTAGATCTGTTAAATTGTCTTATTAATTCGTTTAATTTGTTCAATTATTAATCTTAGAATTTGATCTGAATAAGTTACAATGTAAGCCGGAAAATGAACTCATCTTATGATTTATGCGGGTAAGAATAAATCGTACTTTATCGTTGTTACTTTTATGTAGATATATATATATATATATGTATATATGTATATGCTATATGGGTAGAAATTTCCATGGGGAAAGTGTGAGAAACTGCAGCCGGAAATTATAGGCAAGATCGTATCTGTTGAACGTCAACTTTACTTAGAAAACGTACGCGATGTGTACGTCCGAGTGACGCATACCGAATATCTCGACACAACACCACTCTGTGTTCGTGGTATCCTTTATCATCAACATTATCTTTGATGATAATCATTCGTGAGATTATTGTCACTAAACACACACAAACAAGTTTAAGAAAAATGAATTGAAGAAAATTTCTATGAAATCAACTTTCATCTGTATATAATTGTAATGTAAAAGAATGGCGGTATACAAACGTATTGAAAAATGTTGAACAACAAATCCTGAAATGAGTAATAGGAAGTATACTTTCGTTTCTTCGTACAATAATCATCAAAGGTACATGGTCACAACAGATGGGACGGTTTAAAATGACCGTGAACGTTACTCAACGTCAACCATATATTTCCATGTGCGTTATGTTAGAGTGAAAGTTACGTTAGTTTAGCGGAGAGGTAGTCAAAAGATGGCTGCTGCTTATGTGACTCACATAGGGATAACAATGGATTCAAGAAGGAATCTGCCGAAGAGCCAATCTTGCTCATAAAGGCAATTATTACCACCAACACTCGTTCGTAGTACTCGTTGTTTAAAAGAAACTTTTATACAAATGTGTAACACAAGACTTTTGTGATATTGTTTCTTAGAACAGTGATGTAACTTAGTTCGTTACGTGACTAAATCAAAAATAGTAACAAATCAAAAAATATTCGTTTATTTGTAARAAAAAAAAATATAAACTATCCTTTTTTTAGAAAAACAACAAATTTATCTAATTCTAAACATCTCGAAATATTATATTATATTCTTCCAGTAAGTTTGAATACTCAGATTCGTCACGCTTTCTCCGAAATTTTTCCAACAACAACGACTACTAAAACGAGTATTCGCTTAAGCCAAAGCTTGTGTTCCCAACATTCAAATATAACGATCGCCTGGAGATACGAAACCGCAATGGTTTATCTAAATTGCAGTTTGCCAGCAACGAGAGATCTTGCGGTAATCTCATTTCGAACGTATTAATCTTTTTATTCTTTTTCTTTTTTTTTTCTTCTTGTCTATCTCTTTACGGTCGTTTCGTATTTCGTGACTACATTTATGGAAAGCCATTTATCTTAGAAAATAAAGAAAAAACAATATATATCTTGGAAAGCAACGTCATCCATTTGTTATTAGCTTGAAACTCATAATATCTTTAACTACTCATCGCATACAATGTTTTTTTTATTGTTTTATTATTCTATCAATCTCGTTCGTACGTTCTTCCCGCCAAAATTTTGATCAATTTGGCGGGAAGAACATCAAAATTATTTCAGTCGATAATATCTATAATGATAAAAAAGAAAACTACTTTATCGATAACTGAGAACCACAGTAAATGTAATTATAATTTTCCGATGCAAGATGGCGTTGCTTATCGAGTATACATAATACTCTTATCTACTTAAGGTAAATATTTGAACATGTGTTAGATAAAAAAAAAAATATAAAATTCTTAACTAATTAAACATAGGAGATATCAATTACAAAGAAAACAAAAAATGTAGAATATAGAACACTTGAAATTCAAATAACTCATTAACGAGTCTGGCCTATATAAATGTTTTTTTTTTTCTTCTAATTAAATAAACCATCTGTTTTAATATTAGAAATGAAATGAATACGACTCACCATATGCTCCATTGCTTTTTCTTCTAATTCTGCTAATGTCCAATCAACGTGAAGACTCAAAGGTTTCAGACGCGATTCCATTTCTCGTAACCACTTTCTTAAACATTTAACTTCATGTTCGAAGTCTGTACAAATAAATATCAAGAATTATGAACACCCAAAGAACCTCCGAGAATTTACAAATGAAGTCTTGTTAAATAGAACAAACAACAAATTACCTGCAGATACATCCTGTTCGTCAGAGACAGTACGTTCTACGGGTGCCATAATTTGTTCAACTAATTCCCACTTTGCGTTCAAATGATTAACACGCCACGCCACTTCATCTTTTAATGCAGGGGTGCATGATACTAATTTTTCAGCTTGTTCATTGAACAATTTTCTTCTGTATGCCTTACGTCGCAACTCCGCCATGTGAGCCTTTACAAATGATAAATAAATATACATTAGATTATTTTGATATTTTATTAAAATAACAACATGATGAGATTAATTGTAATTGCAAGTAAACACATACCGCGCGTAGACTTTTGTTCAAAAGATTTTCTTCTTTAGAATAAACTAATTCTTGAAGTATTCTCAACCAAGAGTAAAGTTCTGAAAATTGGCAACTAAGTTCCTTCAAACTCCATGACTGTGTTGATACGTCTGTCTCATCCCAAGTTAATTCACCATTTGCTTCCTATCAACAAAACAACATTTATAATCATTTATTTTGTAATATTTAATACATGTTATTATTAAGATATTAATAAGATTATTCGTACCTTACAACTATCAATTAAATTAGTATCCATAATATAATCATAATTAGAGCGTATCGCAGCCCAAAAGTCATCTTTGCTATCATCTCTGTTAGTCCACATTCTTTGACATTGCATTTGTTTGGGATCTTTTCTATAAAACAAAACAAAAAATACAAACCAATTATAACATTAGTATACAATCATAAAATATAATAAGATATAAAATAATAATAATTTCAAAAATATAATAAACCTTTTTTTGGTAAGACTGTTGTATGGTCTTTCTAAGGGCACACTCACTTGCTTCCGCCTTTCTAGACTATTGCTAGAAGGCTGAAGTGAGGTTAAAGAGAAACTCATCTTCATTTCCTTGCGTAGATCTATAACAATATTACAAATCAATGTAATCAAACATCTTTATAACCTACAAAATATTCTTAAATTAAATACTAAATCAATTTACAATTTGCAAATTATCCCTTTAAACAAAATATGAGAAATTCAAGTACCATTTCTTTTAAACAACAAACTCCAATTTGTTCATCAATTGAAAACTGAGGTTATAATAAACAACAACACATGTCAAGTATTTCAAACTACGTTGATCAAAATGAAATATAACAGGTAGTCAACAACTTATGTATAAATCAAATAACAAACTCCAATTTGTTCATCAATTAAAAATTGAGGTTATAATAAACAACAACATATTTGTAAAGTATTTCAAACTACGTTGATCAAAATGAAATATAACGGGTAGTCAACAACTTATGTATAAATCAAATAACAAACTCTAATTTGTCCATCAATTGAAAACTGAGGTTATAATAAACAACAGTAACACATGTAAAGTATTTCAAACAACTTTGATCAAAATAGCAACTTACGTATCAATCAAAATAGGTTCAATAACCTTTTTTAAATTGAAATCACGTATTACAGAAGATAGGAAACATTGTATAGTACATTTTCAAAGCATCGTTGCACACACACACACACACACATAATATATATATAAATATCTATATATATATATATATATAATCTGATCATATAAAAGGAATATAAGCAGGAAACGTAAACGTGATAAAAAGGATATTAGCATTCACTATGCAACCTTTTCCAAGAAAGTATAATTATCAGGAAACACAATGACGTATTGCATATTTTTCAATGTATTCACATGTCTAACACATTCTATGAAAAAGAAAAAGAGACTAATAAGAGAAGATGATGATGATGATGATGATGATGATGATGATAGTAGTAAGGTCGAGTATCTTGTTACACGCGTGTACATTTTCTACTATCCACAGGTGCAACGAGCATGAGAGAACGTGTGGGATTCGAAAACTTGTCGCTGTAGTCGCACCAAGTGTTAATATAAATGAACTGTAATAAACGAACAAATATATATATATATATATTAAAATAAAACAGGTAAGAAAAACAAAACAATCATAATAGGTGGAAAAAAGAAAAAAAAATGACAAGTAGACATAAACGACAAGTGATGACGAGTTATTGCATCAAGCCGGAACTTTGCAAAGAGATTTTTAACACCTCACTAGACGAATTTGCATTAGGTCTCTAAGAAAAAGGAGGAGAAGGAGGAGGAGGAGGTAAACAAGGAGAGGAATGAAAAAGAGACAGGATAACGGCCAAGGGGGAGGGGAGAACTTGGTGTCGTTGTCATCTTTGTATACTAGTGTATATATATATATATATATATATATATATATATATAGTACGTGTGTAGATTGCTTTGCTAGTACTATTACTATCTGACGCTGATGATAATGATGGTAGTAATGGTGGTATGGGAAAGAGATGAGAAAGAGAAAGAGAAAGAGATAGAGAAATAGAAGGAAGGAGAGGGTAATAGAGAGGAGAGAGTATTTGCACAGCTACTCAGAAGAGAGTTTAACGCCTGCGGTAACATTTCCGGCGATGGCAACCGTTCATATTTATCTCTACCGTTATTAAATTATGAAATAAATAAGATCTTTTTTTACGAAAGACACCTTCTTCAAGGTAGGAGGATTAAATTAAAGAAAGACCAACAAAAAAAAATAGAAACGTCATTGATTTAAATAGGTTTGGTGTGGAACGTGACAAGGGGGGTTCCACCCAACCCCTCCGGCATGCATGCATGCATGCATGCTTAGAGAATAAACGTTGTGGCAGGCACGCCTTTGAATAACACCCAACGAAATGTCATCTAGGGGAGTGATTTTCATAGTTCTTTTTTTTAATATCCCCCACCCTTAGAATTACTCACGTTTCTCCTTGCCGCTAAGAAAGCCTGATCCCCCTCCTACACCACCCTTCTTCCATCCACCTTCTAACTTCCGATTATTCACCGACACCGGACACTACATAATCTTGCCGTACCACTTTAAAAATACACCTTACTAATTCGTGGGAACTAACACACACGATTTCTTCTTCTCTTCGTTTCGTGACTCCGTTTATTTCTTCTGTTTTTTTTTTCTTTCTTTCTTTCTTTCTTTTTTTTTATTGTTCTCTGTCTGTCTGTCTCTCTCTCTCTCTCTCTCTCTGGTTTCCTTTTATCTTTCTCTTTCTTTCTTTCTCTAAATCGACGAAGAACCGCCGTGCACACCAGCGGTGCACACAGACGTGCACTGCATTAGTGGCGCCTGCGCCATAAGCGGTACGAATCCGAGCTCGTTGCATCGTCACGGCGAGTTTGCACGAAAGAAAAGTGACCAATAAGCGGCGCGACTTCTTTACGCTCCACCAATCACGATTACGATTATTTTATATTTAAGATCGATGACTCAACTTCATTGGCTCGCGCGGAATTGAATTTCGGATGACTTTAAAGTTGTGTGTACAATTATACAAATGCACACTAATACTATTTAAAAAAAAAAAAAAAATAAATAAACTACCATGCGTTGCAATACAAATTATTCAAATACTTTGATTTTTATATGACATTAACTGTACAATGTTGGAATAATTTAAAGAGTTTTGTTTTTTCAATGCTCTGATTATTTCTTATGCTTCGAACAAAATTAAATCAAATTTGTCCTCTTATTTTTTTCCTTTCTAAATTTATAAGAAATTTTGCAAATATTTAATAATAACAATTATTATTATTAATTTTTATCCTATCAATTAGGTCCTTGTAATATGTAACATTGATACATACAATTATGCTAAATTAATATTGACTAACTCATGAATTATTTATTACTATCTTTATGCAATCATTGCAAAACTATTTGCAATATAAATAAAAAAAAAAAGAAAATGACTATTTCCATAAATATTAGGTAAAGAAATAATTAATATAAACTTGTCGTATAACTTTGAATTATATAATTGAAATTTTCTAATAAAAAAAAAAATGAGTCAAGATAATTACTATAAAAAAAATATATATATATATGTGTGTGTGTGTTTGTATGCAAGTTGCATTTATTATCATTTAAGTATTTTCAAATTTAAAGCACAAATATTAGTTGAAAGATATAAGTAGACCTCGGTGACCCATGGAAACAGTCTCAAAATAGATTGTAAAGAGTCAAACATAACTGGAGTTTTTGTAGGATAGTATGCCAAAAAGAACAGAGATCAATGGCTTATGTACAGTCTATGACATTAATATTTTAGTAATATAATATTAACAAATAATTCATATTTTGTTTTATATAATTTATAAATTATAACATTTGAATTTTGTTTCTATAAAATTATATCACACATCATATTTATATAAATAAAAGTAAGAAAAAAATATATAAATTAGTTAGATTTACAGCATGAAATGCAACGATGTTTGAATATATTAAAAATTGGTAACCATATCCAGTAAAAACCACTTAAAAATAAAAATAATGCAACTAAACGAAAACAAAGGTCAGCGTCTGTAATGATAAATGAAAAATAAAATAAAATAAAATAAAATAAAATAAAATAAAACTGTTGTTTGATTATCTACATATTTCAAAATAAATATTACTTACTGTGTAGAAAACAAAGAGATAATAAACAGATTCCCACTATCGTTGAAAAGATTTTATAAAATTGATCTACAAAACGAGATCCAAAAATATCAATAAGTATTGAATCTTGACAAACCGATAGTAGACCGATACTAATTCCTCCTAGTAATGCACTAATCATGAATACATAATATTCTGAAGTATATGTTAATACTGTAAAAATAATTTATTAATATGAGTTGCATGTACTGCATTCAATTATTTCTTAAAGTCATATAAATTTCTATAAACATACCCATTAAAACAGAACATCCAAGCCAACATGCAATACCAAAAAGTATTCGTCTATTTTGTGGGATAATTTGCAAAATCCAAAAAGTCATAGAATTTGGTAAAAGAATACCAAAACCAGCAATAATTGATATTGCAACATAATTATACGAAGAAGATATGTTTGTGATAAACATGTAAGGTAATAATATCCAAAAAAACAAAGTAAAAGATTTAATTCCAACCCATGTAAGTATACTCATCCAAAATCGTAAATAGACAAATATTTGAATATGATTTTTCCATTTGTTACTAGATTTAATTGATTTTACAAAGATATCTTCTTCACTATCTTCATATGTATAAATTTCATTATGTTCTGCAAATGAAGAAGAATTCGTATCTTCAATTTGTTCTGTTCCATGTGAAGATGAATTTTCTAAATTATTATTATCTATAGATTCTAATCCCATATTAGAATTATATTTTGTAGAAACATCGTTGTCATCTTCATTAGTTAAAAGTAAATTGTATTGCGAAGGTTTTGGAGACATTGGTTGTCGTAACAAAACTACACCCAAAATAGTTGGTACAAAAATAACTGTTATGAGCAAAAGAGCAATTTTCAAAGAAACTCTCATAAGTAACAAATGAGTTAAACTTGGAACTATGATATAACCAAATGATAATGCAATATTTTTAATGGTAAGTGCAATTGATAATTTTATACGAAAATATTTTAACAAACATTCTTGACTTTGAACCATAACGAAACTTGCTCCTATACCCATCACAGCACCAGCACTCAAGCTGGCTAAATATGCACCAACTCCACCAGTAGCAAGATACCCAGATGCTAAAACCCCAATAGAAATAAGTGCAATTCCTATCAATCCAATTACACGTGGAACAGAAGTCAAATCCACAATCATTTTAGACCATGGATCTATAAAAAAAAAAAAAAAAAACAAAAAACAAATTACATCAAATAATCTACATGTATGATAATTATCATTAATAATAATATGAATGAATTAAACTCACCTGTTAAATTCCAAAATGCTATGAAGAGTATTGGCGTCAAAATGATTTTCTGATCCCACAACTCAAAATTGGCAGTCTTATTTTCAGTCAGATATCCAAGTACAATACCGTATACCGATAGTATACTTGGTATGGTCATCTGTATTCATGACATATAATATTTTGCACATGATTTCTTTTTAACTTAATATTATGTTTTATGCAGTGAATAATCCTTTAGAAAATTGTATATACTTTTTAGAAAATTAATATGCAACAAATGTATATAAAAATTATTATTATTGATATTAATAATAATACCTGAATGAGGAATACACCAAGTAAAATAATCCACGAGTAACCCCCATCTTGTATAGTTGGTCCAAGTTCTGGAAAAGATGTGATAATATCATCTAGATAAAGATGTTTAAGAACAGACATTGTTGAATTATTGTTTTTTTTTTTTTTATGTATTTTTAATTAAGGTATTTTATTGATGTTATATCAACAATATAATAAACTATGTAAAAAAGAAAACAATTATATTTCTCAACAGGCAATTAAATATCTATAGCTGTTCAAAGAATGTCATATCTAATCTTAATCAAGGTGTCAATGATCTGATAACTAAAGATAAGAAATAAGAGAAAGGAGAGTGGTTGTTTCAAAAGAATTATTTGTATAGATACTATATATAATTTAACTTTAGACAAAATTATTCAATAATTATTTCTAATATTTCTTTAACTAGTTTTTTTTTCTTTCTAAATTTTAGAATGTCTGTTGATCATGCTTGAAAAATCATCAAAAAATAGTGTTTACATTATAAATTAAATTTGTGAATATTATTTTAAAATAATTTACATAATCAAGGTCTTTTATCAAAGATAAGAATATTCAAACGTGGTAATATATTATCGTCTACACAAATTTTATTTGTTTTACACTAATGAAAATACATAATGATCTCGCTTGAATTTTTATCTTATGAATCAAATGTAAATTTGTGTTTGAATCTTGTGCTTACAATTAGTATCATCAATTGATTAAACATATTTTGTATTTTTTAAGAAAAATAAGATTTTTATAATGGTGTCTATTAAAATGACGATAA